AAATAAAGCCATACCTTGAGGAGATGTTCAACACAACCATCCAAAACCAAGTTACCTTTATTAGAAACATTGAGTTGCAATTACGTCAAATTGCAAATGCGATAAATAACTACCCTTAAGGTACCTTGCCTAGCAATATAAAGACAAACTCAAGTTGGTTAGGTAATGAGGAGTGCATCCCAAGAGATATGGAATTGAGAAGTGGCGTGGTGTATTTCGATTATGATTATGATGATGATATAAAGGAGTCTATTGTGGTGAACATGCCAAAATTTGTTAAGGTTATGGAAGATGAAATAGTAAGAAATGGGAAAAAAAGGCTAATGAAGAGGATTTTAAAGATGATAGATCAATTAAAGGAATTGAATTTGAGAAAGGCTATAGTTTTAGCTTTATTCAATGTGAGTCTGAGCCTTATAGTTCTATTCAATATGAATTTGAAGAAGGCTATAGTTTTTTTTCTTTGTTTTGTAAGTAATTAAACATAGTAAGATATGAGCTTTAATGATGAAATCCAAAAAGATAAGGAAGTTTCATATAATCCTTTAAACTTTATTTCTTTATTGCTTATGCATTGAAGACAATTTGCATTCTAAATTTAGGGGTTAAAGAAAATTTTGTGTAAAATTTTCAAAATTTGGAAATGATTGATGAAATTTAATGTTTTTGCTTTGAGTCATTATGATGCTTCTTTGGTTGATTTTTCATAATCCAATGATATGAACTATTATTGAGATTGATTATAGCTTATGAAAAAGAATGAATATTGTGCAAACATGAGATGAATTTTGAGTTAGTGACTAATTGATTATGAGATTTTCATTTGTAAGTATATATCTTAATCATTAAGTTGCATGTTATTTAGTGAAAATTATGTGAGCATAGAATTTTTTTGCATTGATCTTTATAGTTGTGTCATGTTCTAGAATTTGCTTGATCATCTCTAGTCAAACATTGTTCTTCATGTTTATATGCTAGGCTTTTGTTTCTTTGCATTTGGATGTAGAATTCATATGAGACATGAGACAAGATATATATATACACACACATATGGACAAATATATGCTTGCACAAATCTTTCATTAGGTTGTGTTAATATAAATTGTTACATACAATGTTTTTTTCCTAAATTGTTTAAGCAATAACTCGAGTAGATTCCTAACTTTACATTTGTTTTTGTATTATTTTCATATGGAGGTTGTAGACACTTAATTTTGTTCAAGATTTTTTCTAGGACAAAAAACGAAGCTTTGAACCCAATAGGAAAATTTTCGATTTTAATTTGATTTGATTACTTGTTTCCAAAAAAAAGTAAAAAAAAAAAGAGAGAGAGAGAAATAAGAAAACGAGTGATTTTGGCTTGATTCATGAAAATCTTGTAAAAAGGGAAACTTAAGACTTTTCCAAGTATGGACAGAATTTCCAAGTCATTGTGCCACATAAGCCTCCAAACCATCTCTATTGGCTAATGAGAAAATACTTGCTGCCATGTCATCCATAAGTAATCCCATTCATACACGCCTACAGAAAACACCATGAAATTCCATTTAGCTTGAAATTACACATTTATTCCTAATCATAGCCAAACATCCCTTACACAATTCTTGCATGAACTCTAACTCCAATATATTCGATAAAGCAAATCTTGTAGAAATTCATCAATCCAACTTTAAGATTTTTAAGAATCAACAAAAACACATCAAGAATAGTATAAGATTACTCTAAATGAACCAAAAATCATCCAAGATTCTTCAAGATTCACCAAGGTTTGATCTTTTCTATAAGATTTCCTACAAAACAACAAATTAAGCACATTTGGAGTAAAAAAATGCTTATTTAGCTAAGAACTAAGAAAATTCACTCATTTAATCACAGAAAACAAGTCTAAATTATTCTATTTTATAGAGTTTTCACTAGTCTAACTAGAATTTCTAGGTCTAGTTCTAATCAGGAATCTTAATTATAATATGATTTTTGAAGTTTTAAACATTTTAGGAAACTAAAATTATCAAGATACCCAATTTGGCTAGGGCTCATAGTTCTAGTCATATAGCTTTAGTAGTGTAGTCTTAGTCGAACTAGAATTAGTAGTTCTACCTTTTTATTAAAATTTCTAAACAATTTAAGAGTTCTAATTGTCATAATGTACGAGTCCATATACTCGATCATTTGACATTAACTAGGAGTTACCACCAATCTTTTTTTTTTATTTATGTGCGATTGGTCACCTAATTAAATCTGTCTTCTTTTAAAGAGATTATAAGTTTAACTCAGGTTCCTTTAAAAAAGTATATACTAGTCTATGAAACTAGATAAGATCCAAGAGTAAAGTTACATGTAAGAAAAGTTATAACACCCACACAACACACATACAAAGGATGATGCCAATTGATTTCGTGTTATCCATTAAGTCTTAAAACATGCTAAAAATTTTACCTAATAAATTAATATTTTAAATTATTCTTAAAATTACTCTAATAATTGAGTAGCAATTTAAGAATATTTTCTCACCTCAAGAGTATTTAAAGAGACTACTATCACTTGTTGAAAAGACTCTATCAAATTCATTCTAAAAAATTTTAGTTTTTCAAAATCAATAAAATCTTTCAATAGTTTGGTACGATTTTATTTTGAGATTTTAATCCTCCAATAATTTGGTAAGATTGAATTTCCACAAATTTTTAAAGAATCATTAAACCTTCTAATACTTTAATAAGATTTAATTTTAAGATTTAAATCTTCTAATAATTTATTAAATTTAATTTAAAAATTTAATTTTTTAATTTTCTATGAAAATATAATTAAACCTTTCAATAATTCGATAAAATTTAAGTTTAAGATTTAAATCATTCAATAATTTGATAAAATCAAAAATATTTTTTAATTAACTTTTCTTACGAAATCCGCTATTAATTGGGAGGAATTCATAATTTCAAAATAATTTTTAAACTCATGAAACCCAAATAGTTTTTTAGGATTCAAGGATTTAATTTTAAAAATTTATAATTTAAAAATAATTAAAAATTTACCAAAAATGGGTCTGCACAAGAATGAGCAGCTCGGCTATATTCAAAGAACAGATAAAGGCTCGGTCTAGATACGAGTCAGCTCGGCTTTGGCTCATTTGGGACTGAGTCACTGGGTGGAGCGCGATAGGATTAAGTCAGGTGGATAGGCTGGCACGTGAATTTTCCAGGTCTTCTAACACCAAAACGCACCATAAGAGAGAGGTATAAAAGCTAAATTTTTTTCTTTTACATTTTTCTTCTTTTATCTCTCTCTTCTCCCCAATTCTTCTCCGTTCTCTCTGGAATTCTTTGAATTCCAGCTGGCAAACTCAACAAATCCTACTATCCTGCAAAAAATGTAGAACCGATAACGAAAACTTTAAAAGATCACTAAAAAACTTTATTTTCATTGAAAAATTCAACCAAAACTTAAAAAACCCTAAAAAAAAAATCTTCCTACACCAAATTTCATTTTTTTATTCCCAAATCTAAATCCAAATCTAAATCTTCCAAATCAAACTTAAATCTAAGTACAATCCAAGAAAATTTGACCCAAAAGATCACTAGAGGAAGCACTGCCAAAATTTTTCCTTTTGTATTTTTTTATTCCTTCTGCTATTTTATTTTTTTGATTGTCGATTCTGCTCTTTCTCTACTTAATCCCCTCTGTAAGCACTCAAAGCTTTTTGTATAAGCCACCTGATCCTAAATTAGATACAATTTCAAATCAAAACAAAACAAATTTCATTAGTTTAATTCTACTTGTTTCATACTTAGAATCAAACTGTTATTTCTATTCAGCTCTCTCCCAAAAATTAGGCTAGATGCATTGGTCAAATATTTCAATCCTAATAACAATTGCAATCCAAAATAATTTTGAGGACTTAAATCCTTCTTCAAATCCAATTTTCTTTTTGTAATTTTGGTTAAATTACTTGATGTCTGTAGTGCTACATTGATGTCCGTATGGTAAAAGTCTTACCCAAAAAGTCAAACTAAAACACCATTTATCCACGTGGACACATCCAAGTGTCATCTAAGTTTGCCACATAGACATGGTAAAATTATCCAGGTGGAGATGATATGGCAAATTCAATCGGATTTTAAAGGCAATTGATGGAATTGATAAAATTAAAATATTTTTAAAAAGTTAACGATTCAAAAATATAGTTTTAAAAGTTGTACAGGAAAATAAATTTTTTTTCACAAAGATTATTAACGTGTGATGTAATTTACTCATAAATTTGAGCAATTGTATTTTAAAATGTAAATGTGAGGTTGGATTCCTTAAATAACTCCAAATTACACTCTATTTCAACTTGGAAGGAAGTCTGGGCTGTCAATTTTACATGGCTATCAATCATCCAAATTATTCACTTATAATTTTTGCGAATTAGAAAAAAAATCCAATTTAAGATATATATAAATATATATAAATATTCTCTAATGTTGAGTCCTAATGTAATGCAACTTCATATATATAGAAAATCTATATATGCACATGTACATGTAAACCGGTGTTTGCATATTTTATTTTAAAATTTGACATTATTTCCTTTTTTAAAACAATATGGTCTATATTCTTCTATTGAAAAGGAAATAATTTTTTAAACAGGATTAATTTACTAATTAAATTTACTATGAGAACAATTAATTTCAAATTTTTGTATTTTTAAAATGAATACATTATGGGATATTAATCGACGACCAATTTGGTTGATTATGTAATTAGCTTATGATGCAATGAAAGTGATTAATAGCATGGTTAATGATTTGACTCCAATCTAAATTATAGGCAAAGTTAACTTCAATCAATTAGCTTTTCATTATTTTTTCTTTAAGAAAAAAACTTTTGGAGCGTTAAGTTCAATGTATTAATGACCCGTGGTAAAGCGCAACAAAAATGGGTGATGAAAATTTATTGATACTGATAAAAGAACAAGATTTTAAATCTTGGTTCCATCTATTATTGCAATGAAAAGAAAATTTGTCTCAGCTATTGAGTATTATTTTGACAATTGATGCGGCAACAACAGATACATCATGCACGACTTTATTCATATCAGTTAGCGGTGATTTGCCAGGAAATTCCATTTCACAAGAATTGGCCTCTATGGCTGCATCATTTGTGCCTTTCTCAGCGAATTTATAGTTACCTGTCTTGAGAGCTTCAGTGATTTCAGGAACATCAGCTCTTATTATCACGTTATAGCGTTCAGCGCAAGATGTTAAAGCCCTACGCATTGCAGGGTCGAGGGCAAGCCCATCCTCGAGTAGCTCATCAATAAGATCAAGAGTGTCAGTTGCTTTAGTTTTGAGTGAATCGACCATGATTTGAGCTAGCTTCTTGACGTCCGCATTACAGCTTTCAGGATTGGATTTCAGAGACCAAATACAAAGATCATAGAATGGAGTTTGCTTGCATGTTCTCTCGATCAAATTGCCTAGAAGAAGGGTTGGACGGAAAGCCTCAACAGGGAAAACAAGGAAGAGAAATATTATGAAACTCTTCATCTTTCAAATTAAAGGTTGGTAGCACATAGATGTTTCAGAATAAAAAATAATAATGGCTCTCTTATAGTGAATTGTCATGGAAAAAAAGATAATTATTTTGACCAAATCATCCTCATCAAATGCTATCAATATGGTTCGCCCTTGAAGCTCGCTCGAGCCTTCAGGAATGCCTTAGCCAAAAGTCGGTTCATTTGAACGAAAAGCATGTGAAAGTCAAGAGGATCGAGTGACATTTTATGAACACTTTATTTTTATTAACCTTTTGCGTTGTAGTTTTTTTTTTTTTTTTTTTTTTTTTTTTTTTTTTTTTTATAAATGCCTTCTCAATCTCACATTGAGAAGCTATTAAGATTCGCTATGACGTATATGTAAAATTTTTAATTCATACATGTGATGCATAACCTATGGGATAAAAATGTGAAATTTTCATACCAAAACAAATAATAGCTTGCAAGTTAGGTGCAAGTCTCACTATTAGAAAAAAGTTTAGCAATCATAATTTATAATGGCTAAAAACATTGTTGCAAAAAATCGTTATATTTGTAATGATCTTCCACAATTGTTGGTTATTTGAATTTTTTTATATTTTATACAACTATAATTTTTGTTGTTGCTAATTTTTATAAAACTGCTAACACTAAAAACAATCATTACAAAATCTTATTAAATTTAGAATGACTTTTTGTTGTTGTTGTTCAATTAATTTTTTAAATAGTTTATATAATGATAAGAAATAACGACAAAAAACAATCGTTACGATATCTTATCAGATTAACAATGGTTTTTATAGTCATTATCTAATTAAATGTTTCTTAATATTATATACATCGATCAAAATAGTTATTATGAAATCTATATAATATTCATAACAACAAAAAAAGTCATTGCAAAATCTTATCAGATTTGCAACGACTTTCTATAATTGTTATCTAATTAAATGTTTTTTTAATTTTTTATGCAGCGATCCAAATAGTTGTTACAAAATCTATTCAATATTTATAATGACAAAAAAGATCATTGCGAAATCTTTATCATATTTGCAATGACTTTTATAATCATTATTTAATTAAATATATTTTAAATTTTTTATACAACTATCAAATTAATTGTTATGAAATGTCTTCAATTTTTTATAACAACAAAAAGGTCATTGTGAAATCTAATCATATTTGTAATGACTTTTTATAATTGTTGTCTAACTAAAATTTTCTTAATATTTTATACAACAATGAAAATAATTATTATGAAATCTCTATCATTTTCTTAATATAAAAATATATTAAGTTATGTTATCAAAGAAGGATACATTGTGAAATGTAATATATGATTATACTATCATTTACAATGAAATTTAAATATTTACATAGATTTTTATTGAATTAAAAATTTTATATTTTTATGGACTTGAAAAATATAATTTTATGATATATTTTCAATTGTAAGTTATAATTTAATCATATTTTTAATTATTAATGTAAAGAGTATTAATTATTTAGCCAAAAAGAGTATTAGCTATTAATGTATTAATTCAAGACTTAAAAATAGTAAAATTAAAAATTTTATATTCTGGAACATTTTTTAATTACAATCAAAATAATCAAAATAATTGTTTAGGTTATTGACATTATTACTTTTTAATATTATCCACTAATTTTGATTTTTATTAAAATTAATTAAAATATAATACAACACACGAGTTGTTTGTTAATGAAATAATATTATATTTATGATAATTATTTTATTTCTCGAAGTATTGTTACAATTGTTATTAGTATTAATAATAGCATCTATTAAATTTTCATAGAAAAATATAAAAATTAAAAGATATATTTTTATTTATAACAATTTAGAAAAATAAAATAGCATCACCTCATGAGCCTATTAGTTAGCTATGTTGGGAATAATGACTCAAATCACATAAGAGATTTATTTGGGATTTATTAGATATTGTTTGATGGACAAGAAAACTTGCAAAAGAAAATTTCTAAGAGAAAGAGAATTCTTAATAGGCAAGTTTGACTTATAGAAGAAGAATTCTAAGAGAAAATGAATTCTTAATAGGCAAGTTTGTATGGTTATAAATAGGTGAAGTCTCTACAGGGTTAGGTATGAGTAAAAGATGTAAAAAAGTTTTAAAAAGTTGTAAGATTTTATGGATAGACACCCCATAAGACTACTAGAGATTTACGTCTTATGAGTATGTATGTTTGGATGTTTGGGAGTGGACTAGAAGAGATTGAGAGGGTCCATATAGGTATGATATATGGGTGCATATGGGTATGTATTTAATTGTGTTGAAAGAGTGCGCATAAGTATGTGTTTGTTTGTGTTGAGAATACTCCATAGGACTAGAGGAGATTGAATGGGTCTATGCGTATTGATTATTGAATGGTTGATATGTTTTGATGTATGTTTGTAATTCTCTACAACTAGTGGATCTTATTTCTCATCCATGGACGTAGGTTAGTAGGTCGAACCATGTTAAATTATTATCTCGTGTGTGTTTGATTCATTATTTGATTTTGCTTCTACTGATGTGATTGGATTGAGGCCTTTTGGCCTAACAAGTGATATCAGAGTTATGATGATTTTCAACAAGTGGTATCAGAGCATGACATACAAAAGGAAATGATTGTGAGACTTTCATTACAAGTGAACCTAAACATGTCTAACATAAAGATAGATGATTTGATGAAATTTGAGTCAATGTGGAGATTATTGAGAATAATGATTCAAATCTCATAAGAGATTTATTTGGGATTTGTTAGATATTGCTTGATGGACAAGAAAACTTGCAAAAGAAGAATTCTAAAAGAAAGAAAATTCTTAATGGGCAAGTTTGACTTACAGAAAAAGAGTTCTAAGAGGAAAAAAAATTTTAATAGGCATGTTTGTATGGTTATAAATAGGTAAAGTCTCTACAGGGTTAAGCATGAGAAAAAGATATAGAAGAGTTGTAAGGTTTTATGGATAGACACCCCATAAGACTGCTGGGGTGTCTTATTGTGAGACTTTCATTGCAGGTAGAGCTAAGCATGTCTAGCATGAAGATAGATGATTTGATGAAATTTGAGGCAAGGTGGAGATTGTTGAGAATAATGACTCAAATCTCATAAGAGATTTATTTGGGATTTGTTAGATATTGCTTGATGGACAAGAAAACTTGTAAAAAAAGAATTCTAAGAGAAAAAAAATTCTTAATAAGCAAGTTTGACTTGCAGAAGAAGAATTCTAAAATAATATTCTTAATAGGCAAGTTTATATAATTATAAATAGATGAAGTCTTTATAGGGTTAGGTATGAGAAAAAGATTAAGAGAGTTGTAAGATTTTATGGATATACACCCCATAAGATTGCTGGAGATTTACATCTTACGAGTATGTATGTTTAAATGTTTGGGAATAGACTAAAAGAGATTGAAAAGGTCTACATAGGTATGATATATGGATGCATATGGGTATATATTTAGTTGTATTGAAAGAGTGCACATGAGTATGTGTTTGTTTGAGTTAAGAATACTCCATAAGACTCGAAGAGATTAAGAGGGTCTATGGGTATTGATTGTTGAGTGGTTGATATGTTTTAATATATGTTTATAATTCTCTACAACTAGTGGATCTTGTTTCTCATCCGTAGATATAGGTTAGATTGAACCATGTTAAATTATTGTCTCTTGTGTGTTTGATTCATTATTTGATTCACTTCCACTAATGTGATTGGATTTAGGCCTTTTGGCCTAACAAGCTATTGATATTTTTATCATAAGGTGATGTAGTTCTCATGTCTAACTATTAATTAAAGAGCTTTAACAAATAAATTAATCTAAATCCATCATAAATTAATTAATCTATTGTCTAGAAAAAAAAAACATATCTAGAGAGTTTATATAGTTTTATATCAATTGTCTTTTCTCCTTAAATTACTATATACAACAATTTACCTCCTTTTAGGGAATAATATTTTTTGTTTAATCAAATGGTAACAGATTGAATGAATGCTAATTTTATGTTGATAGATTTATGTTATTATTAGTAGATTCTTAAAATTGTGAGGTAGCATTTTTTAATGGAAGTTTAAAAAGTATTATTTTTTAAACCATTCTATTATAATTTAAAGTTACAATTTTGATCTTGATTACATGAAAAATATATATTTAAATATAAAAAATGTTAATAAATTATGGTTTTTTAGAAAAATAAATACTAATATTTAATTTTGATAAAATAAAATAAATTTTTTTATATGAATTTTTTTAATTTTTTATCTTATTATTTTTAAAGAAATTCACTTAAATCCATCAAATTTTGTGACAAAAACAAATCCAATTCTCCATAACGACGTTGTTCTAATATAGGTTAATCCTATGATGGAACTTTCAAATAACAAAGAAAATGGCTTCAAGGCATGTTGCAAATGTCATTTTCCTTAAAGACCATTTTGTTCATACCAACTATGTTATGCATAAAAGATATAACTTACATACCTTTAATATACAATGAAGCCTTGTTTGATGTCACCTTGCATTTGTGATATCAAACTACTAAACATTCCTTACTGAGAGATGAAAATATCTAACTTTGAACATTAGTTTTTACAAAAATAATGTCAAAGTAAATAGCCTTTTATTTGTGAAAGAAAGAGAAAAAAAGAAAGAGAGTTTCTGACTTTTGAACCTATTGAACTGCATCAAATGAACACTCATAATCAATGTTTATAAAGATTAAATCCTAAGGTGTGGCTCTTTGATTATATTGTTTTAATCAAATATCACTTCATTTTTTGAAACTTTTCTAAATCATTAAAGTTATAATAGTTTGTTTAAATGATCACTCTTTTTCATTTCAAATGAAAATCATTTTTCACATTTTTAAAGATTACAGTTTTTCACTAAAGCAGTTGATTACTCCTTAAAGGCAACCGATTGCCTCTTTGTATTTTATATTTTCAAAACATTCAACGAAGCAGGGCAGTCGACTTTTTTAAATTTCAAAGTACTCAAA